TTATTTTACTTTTTGTCGTAACTACGAACAGGATTTGTAGCTGCGACTTGGTGACCCGAATCTATAATAAAGGGTTTTATTCGAATTGTGTGTGGGTACCAACATTGTATAAAAGCTGGAACTCCTGTTCCATGAAATATGGTTCCTCTAGTCTACAAAGGGGGTTAAAGATAAGTTAGATCAGATAAGATTATTCAAAATTTACAGGAACTCGTTAGCTACTTTCTCATGTCTCTACAGTATTAGGAAACATCTCGATGAGGATCAATCAACCGAAAAGGTTTTATCGACCGTCATGTTGTTGCCGCCATGTTTTTGAATGTCAAAATCTTACAGCACTTTAAATAGTGGTATGACCCAAATCAACCCTTCTTCCTCTAATACTCACTTTGTAATATATGTACCACAGAACACCAAAAATAATGTTTATTTGTTGCTACCTTATTATCCCCGACGGTTATAAATCGTTAATGCTTATATTAACAACTGGATTTTGCATGTTTGATTAACTAACTTGTCAGCAGCGACAGTGTCACGTAACTCCGCAGCTGCTCTTATCCCTCATAAATCATAAGCTATTTCGCTATATATTGATAATAATACAGATGATATCTGATGCGCGCTCACGACGGTTATTGGCGCCTGATTGCATTACTTGTCATCGTACTTTTCGGTAATCAGATATACAAATTTACGGGAAATTGTATGATCCTTTTAATGTGAGATTTGAGAATTAATTTTTTTTTATTTCACTAAAATTCCCTAAACACAAGGTTTGTTAGTACAATACTAAATAACACATACATTTGAAAAATAAACTTATTTACATTGACAGAAAGTCACCAATATCATAATGACATAGTATATCAATAAAACATAAATGATCATACATTGAGTGAACTACATAGATCATTAACAACAGTTTTAATTATATATTCGAAGTTTCAAGAGTTTTTTTAAAGTTTATAAAACAATTTGAAAACATTAAGCTAGGCCAGTAATGTTTTTTTTTATCAGAGATACAAACCAGATTTTCATTAGAAATAACATTTGAATTCATATAAATATTTATTAGCTAGGCAAAACCTTTTTCTTTTCACTTTTGAAATATTTGCATTTCAATATATAGTGAAACTCATTACCAAGTTAATCAATATAACAGAGGTTACAACGAATCAAATTCAACATTAATGTAGGACCTGGTATAAAAAGGGGGAACACTGAAGTGGACATACTAATTGCTTACAACATGCGAAGTAAACACAATTTGTACCAACTGGAACCAGCTCGGCTTCTATTTCAACGTTATTACGTTTTCCGAACCAAGTAACTATATCATGCTCAAATGTTAATGTCAAATTCTTCATGAACATTGTTGGTAAACATCTGAATGGGGTTAAGCGGGGATCAGAAGATATTGGCAGGAAAATGATGCGTTGATAATATATAAGAATTAGGAGATGTGTTATAATTGCCAATAAGACATATATCCATCAGAGTTCAAAGGGCGAAGATAAAAGCAATCATAGGTCACCGTACGGCCTTCAACAGTGAGAAAACCTCGTACCGTGTAGTCAACTATAAAAGGCCCCGAGAGGAAAATCGTGAAACATTTCGAACAAAAAGACTAACGGCCTAATTTATACAATATAATCTATGAAAAACGTATATGACAGACATGTACCAACGAACTACAGGCTCCTGAATTGGGACTAACACTTAAAGAATTTTGTGGGGTTAAACATGTTTGTGAGCGCTCAACCCGTCCCCATCACAAAAGTTACAGCACAAGATAAGTACAAGTAAAAATCAGTTGCAAATTGTTTAACTCAGTGAATCGGTACGAAATACACATAACTAAACTAACATAAAAACAATAGACACATTATACGCAAAGCACCAATATAAGAGTATTCGCAGTTACTGAAAACTATTTCAAAGCCAATTATGACTTATAGATAAATCATGTTTTCCCAGACTAAAGTATTAATCAATACACACTCAACGGATTTAGGACATCATACTCATTCTGTGAAACGCACGACCTTGTGCAATACCAACAAATGGATAAAAAGTATCGATAGGTTGTAGGATCATTAGAACTCATAACTGTGCAAATATAGCAATATATTTAGTTATGTTTTAATCTATCAAAAATGTTAGTACCGATAAAAACAATACTTAAAGATTTTACTACGGTTTTAAATTGATAACCTTGAATGAGTTTATTCAAAGGATCAATGAGTTAACATTGAATGAATCTAATTTTTCGGGCTTTGTAAACGATATCAACGTAAAATTTAGGATATGATATCCCGTTTTTTTTATAAGAATTCTACGGGTACTGCCAATCATCGTAACCAAATCTATGTATCCATGAAACAAATTATAAAAAGTTTTAATCAATTTGTGGTAACGAAATCCCTGACTAAATAATTTATCATTTATACATATATTACGTTCATTAAAATCTATATCGCGAGTACAGACAAGGCCATAGCAAATACGTTCTGAAATATACACATCGTGAAAAGGGACAAAAGGAACACCACCATTCAAAAAGGGAAAATTCACAATAGGGAACGAAAAACCGTCTCGTTTGTCGTAAATTCTTGTGTATTGTTTCCCGAGTGAATCTGAAATATCCAAATCTAGAAAAGGACAAGTATTGCTGTCTGTATGGTATTAGATTTGTTTAAATTAAGTTCTCCTGGGTAAAGTTTTTTTTTTAACAAAACCACTACAATCCAGTATCCTAACGTCATTGACTAATAAATGTAGTCTTTAATGTATTAATCGATGTTTTTTTTAAACTCGTTTAAAAAATTAAGATATGAGCCACAGTCTTACCCAAAAATATATTATGCATCAAAATGTCCTATACACAGATCATAATGTGAGCTGCAAAATATCGGTGTGGGTCAGAATGATGCTCAATTCTAATCACGCTTAAAACTTTGTAAATTTGCTATTTAAAGTGTAACATGTCAATTTCGACAATGTTAATGACATTATATTAACATCGCAAATGACATTAAAAAAATTATTGATTAAAAGTAACCATTGCTTTGGATGCTACATGCAAGCGTAGTTGGAAGATTGTGATGTCTTTAACTTCGAAAACTGGTTCAAACAAAATGTATGTCTTGTCATGATTATTATTATAAAAAATTAGTTAGAAAATTGTGAACTAATACTACTACATATAAGCTTTTAATCCTTATATATTTTGACGAAGCAGTCACGATTCCTCCTTTCTACACAGTAACAGCAACAAAAGGCGTCACATTATTCCTCCCTAAAGAGACATGCAGATGCAAAAAAGAAAAAAACGAAATGACCTTACCCTATGGATGCAAAACTACGACTGGAACACATCTTTACCGTGTATGCATAATTTCAAAAGGCGAAAGATACCAAAGGGCCATTCAAGTTCATTAGTCGAAAATAAACTGACAACATCATAGCTAAAAATTGAAAAAAGACCAAGAGACAAACAACAGTTTACAAATCATAACATAGAAAACTATAACTAAGCTACACTATTTAGGAAAATGAACCTTAAACTAGGAATATTTTGAAATTTGCTCAACATGAAGATGTCAAATCAAAAACCGGCTACATTGAAGTTTCCGAATTGTATAATAGTATAAGACGCACAAACCTGCACTTTTTAAAATAAGGAACTTGCATATATATCGTTTTAATCTTTAATCATATGTATGTACTTTAGCATTATCAAAATATGTAAAATACCAAGTTGTTTTTCGTTCCCCTTGCAGAAGTATGAAACTTGTGACTCGATCCTCTTTCCTTTATACTAGTATTCCTTATATTAAACACAACGATAGATTGACAGAACAAGTTTAAATTTGTTAAGCAAAAAAAAAAAAAGAAGGCAAACTTAGATAAAAATATCTTTTTTTAGAAAGGAAAAATCAAATTATGTCAAAAATCTGATTTATTGATGATTCATTTATTTTCGTGGGTATCAAATTTCGTGCATCGAAGGACAATTGTATTTTTGACGACTTTAACATATGACACACCACTAGACATTAAGCAACCACCAATTAATCATCTACAGTTAAGTTGGCAGTGTTTGAAATTTAGCTCTTTTATGAAGATTTTTAGCTTTTTTTATGCGTATAACCTAATATCTGAAAAACTATAATAGATAGAGAGACAATTTAAATAGCAAAAATGATTATTAGCAAGACTAGATCTACAAATATGCTTAATGGTCGAAATCACGAGTTTACTCCTTATTTGAGTTATTGCATTTTAATGACGATTTTTTTCCATTCTTTTTCATTTTTGCCTATTACCTTGAAAACTATTAAAGATAAAGAGAAACTTTAATAAACCAAAAAGAATAGCAAGACATGATCTGCAAATATGTTACATGATCCAAATCTACGAATAACTTCTTATTGGAGTTATTGACTTTTTATAACGATTTTTATCATTTTTTATGTTTGAGCCTAATATCTCATTAAATACTATAATACATAGACAGCAACTTTAAACAGCAAAAATTATCACCAAGACAAGATCTACTAATATATACGTCAATTGGTTGAAATTGTCAGTTCTCTCCTTTTTGGAGTTATTCCTCTTTAATAACTATTTTTACTCATTTTCAGTGTTCTGCCTTTAATCTTGAAAACTATAAAAGATAGATAGACATTTTGAAATGCAAAAATTATCAACAAGACAAGATCTACAAATAAGTCTTATTTTGACATAGACAATTTATAGGAGTGACTGCCCTAAACAATTTTTACCTTTTGTTTGTGTTTTGGACAAAAACTAAAGAAGATAGAGAGAAACTGTGTCCATTGTTGAAGATGCACATAGACTTATGTAAACCACATTGCCTCTTTAAAGCCTCTGGTTGAATATACCTTAGAGAGGTATTTTTGTTATCCTTTTTTGTATTTTATTATATTGACCCACTAATCAAAAGCATAGCAAATTAAATTCTTATTTTGTTTTAGGATTAAAGATGCATTCGACCACTTATTTAGCAGCCATAATATTTGGTGGAATTAGTGTCATATTCTGTACAGTCGTGAATGAGTGTCCTGAAGACAGAGAAAGATTTTTAGCCAAAACAAATTTCTGTGACAACTCATCTTTGTATCATTGTTTACCAGATGAAGAATGTAAGTTACACAAAATCTGCATTCAACCCGTCAAATCTGCACCAGTACTCGTTATCCTGAATAATAAGGGGACTCTATTTCCTAAATATGTTATCAGTATACCCTATTCAAACATAGATGTTTATGAACTATTTAGTTTTTTTGTTTGTAAATTATCGGTCCAGGATACTGTAGACACAAAGTTATTTGATAAAATTTTGCAGAAATTGAATGTATCGGTACCAAAAGCCACTGGTTCATACACTAAACCTTGTGATCCTCCAACAACACATCATTATTTAGCGACATTGGATTGTAAAATGAAGAAATCTTGTAACGAACCAAGAATGTCACCAAATTTAGGAGTATACATTTATAATGAAAGTGCTTTCCAGGCGGGTAGACTTAAACTTCAGGAGTTCAATGTGGGAACATTAAACAGTTTCTTTTATTATAGAATAGGATTTATTCTTAGTACTTTAGAAAGAATCAAAACTTATCACGAAGAAGAATTTGATAACAAAGGAATAGAGTCTTGGAAATTTGATCGTTCAGATGCATCACACACAAACGAGTCAGACAATACCGAACTCCATAACCCAGGAATTGTAGCAGGAATTATTGTCAGTATCATTGTTTCTTGCATAATGATTGCGCTGACTATTTTTTGTTGTTGGCGAAAGAGAAGTAAAATGTCAACAATATTCAACAATAAAAAGAATGAAACAGGAAGACAGATTCATTTATTAAATACAAGTGCAAATTCTAATTCTAGTGAATTGCAAGTGAACGACACACTACAAGACCGATCAACAAAAGTTATGCAAATGGAAGAGACACATAACAGAACAGAAGAAACAAATAACATAGAAACGTTTATTGAGCCCAGAGAAGTCAAGGAAGACCAATCACAAGATATAGAACTAAGTACTGATGTGGAAAATAAACAAGAAGACGAGATACGAAACACCAAAAGTACGTCAGATTGTGATACGACTGAACAGCTACAATCTGGGAAGCAGACGGTGCATATCAGGGTAGAAGATTATAAACCAAGTTGTTACCCGTTAAATTCCTCAAACAAACCCCTAATGCCGCGTGACCTTGATAACACTGTCCTTTTTGAAGACACAAAAACGTTGTCTGCTTACAAAGACGTTTCTGAAAACTTTTGTGATGATCTATGAACAAAGGTCATAGACTACAGTTATCAATGAGAGCCTTATTCATCTGTGCAACTGTCAAGTACCAAACTGAGATCTAGCCTCATTTCAAAAGTATGTTTATATCATTTTGTAAATAATTTTTTCATCAACTGCCAACTCATTATTATAATTTATTGAATGTACATTAATTTCACGAGTAAGTTTTCAACAACCTCATTCACATTAGTGCAATGTTTGTACTCCAGGTAAGAATGTTGGAAAATAAAAGCATAACAAAAAAACTAACTAAAAAAAGCGCAGAAAAATAGAGAAACAGTCATTAATTTATGCAATTTCCATAAGCCATATATCAGATTATATCAACTATAAAAGTCAAAAATGCTTTATTGATAAAAGGATATATAGGACCTTTGCACTGATACTATATAAAAGAGAGGTCATTAATTATAGTGACAAGAAATTTCAATCAGAGTTTAAAACAAGACCAACAAGAGACTGGTGTTAAAACATACGTGTTTAAATAGCAAATTGTTCAGTCCAACACTTTTGGTTGAAACATTTCTGTTTAGGATTACTTGTACAAGTTATAAACCAGGTAATGGCTCCTTGTTAAGGTAAGAGCAGGTGTAGAAATGAATGGTATCCAAAATAATGTTATTATGAGTGAAACAACGGGTCAAACAAGTAATTAGACAATTAAAACAAAATGTTTGATCCATACCATTTATTCACTAATGGAGTTTTGGTAGGGGCAGGAGGCTTTTTCACGGAGGGACGATTTATTTTAATGTTTGAGATATCAATTTTTCCATAAAATTTCGTTTGCAAGTGTTTACTTCATTTTGTGAGGCAAACTATATACGTTTAGTCTTTCACGGTATGATTATCGTAAATTCAGAAATTTTTGCGTGCATTTGTTGTTGCGATTTTTGAAATATGAACAAAAATGAGAATTTAATTATTGCTATTCTAGGAAAAGTAACATACAGACTTAAGTATCAGACATGTCAGATATCAGAATGCGAGTTCTTATTTTTGCGATACTCAAGCAGTTGCATTATTCGCCTTAATAAAAACCACGCAATAATTTCTTAATTTATAGTAATTACTTTCGGTTCTGACAAGGCAATTGTATTCATTTCCAAAATTCTGTTGCCTCAAACAAATAGTCGTCTCCTAAAACTCTCCTGGTATTTCGGGTTAGTTTTTAAAGTCTGTTTGTAATTAATGTAATAAAGTTATAAATAATCACTTTTTGTTTTGTTCCTTACTTGCTAACTCAAATAAGAAAAAACTTTTAAAACCTTAGATAATTGGTAGATAATGTTAATACAATGATTTCACAGGAAAATTCATGGTACGAACTGTTTAGTTCGCCGCTTAACTATTTAATGCAAACTTAAGCAACTGGAAACCACACACGCCTAGAATGTGACAAATATTGCCGTCACCTTAATCTAGTATCCAGAAGTAACAAATCATACCCTACAGCCGACTGGACTAAGTTCGTCAGCATCGAAGTCTAATCCCTTAAACCGAACTTCCAAACTGGAATTCCCAATATATTGATTCATGACATGTACATGATGTATAAAGTCATCAATTTTTTCATCTCCTGATTTTCGCACAAAATACGGGTGTGAATATCATATTCGCTTTAAATAACCACAATGTTAATCAGAATCTGGATTTCAATTGAGTGGATTATTATTATATAAGATAGCGGTATCATCTGCACGTAAGGATGCACAACAATTGGTATTTTCAAATGGTATTCAATTCAAGTTTTAGAAAGAATAATCAAAACCGAATTCGCATAGATTTAATATAAATCAGCACTTCCTGCACTTCCTTGTCTAATTCATTGTTCTTTTATGGAGTTATCTGAGATGTTATCGTTCTATTTGACACAAGAAGAAGCGTTACTTTAGAAAGTATTTATTTATCTGATAAACCTATTTGAAATAGTTTTTTTTAATTAAATTGGCATGAACAATAATGTCAAACGCAGATGTTCTGTTTAATAATGCAATGTAAGTAGGGAGAATCAGGTCTTTACTTCCATTTTGAATAGGTCGCATAACAATGCACTAATATCGTTAGTAAAGCCTCTGTAACGGGTTCTGTATCTATAGGATCTTGGAATTTTCTCTGATTGTTATAATTTCCTTAAGTGTGTATAACAGTTACTCCCCTTTAAAACCAGTCTTCTCTTTGATATTCCTTTTTGAACACCGGAAATAATATTTCAAAATATTCAACATGCCGAAAATGTTACCGAGGTCGAAGATTTCGTCTTTTAGTTTATCGAGGAACGACTGTAGAAAATTTGCCGCCATGAATTATACTTTCTTAAGTTATCTCAGAAAAAAACTGCTTCTGTGTTTCTATGAGTTTTTTTTATTAAAATTCTTCGATGACCCGATGTCAAAAGTGTGCCCTACATATTATGAATAACTTTAACCTCTTCTTCTACCTGATTCAAAAAGTCAAGTTCGTAGTTAGCATCAGAATTTTCCTAAGCCTGTTTTTGTAATTGTGGCCTGTAGCTATTCATTTTCAAATTATTGTTAAAAAAATCTCCGGCAATATTAAGATATTCAATGTATTAAATTAGCCGCACTCTTTCTTATTGAATAGGGTTGAAGAAAATATGTTTGTCGGATGATCTTGCCAGTATCATTTGTTGGCGTTCACATATTCTCCTAGTACTTGCTACCGCAAGTCCACATTCAGTTTTAAGTATGTGGTGGGCCATTTCTTGTTCTTAAGATACACAATGTTTAAAATCACGGGTCTAACATCAGCTTTCCATTTGTAGAAGACATTTTTCTTTTCGGAAATTGATTTTCGTATTATATCGTTTATTACTGAAATTTTATGTTGATCTTTTTAACACTTTTTCCTCTTAGGCGTTTCATTTTAAACAACAGAATGTGTAATTATATTATTAGGTCTATTACTAACCGCTGAAATGTCTTCTATAGATTCTAATTCGATGTTCATACTCTCAAGTCTCATTTAGACGTCCCTTTCATATTTTACTTTGTAGACTATGTTCCATTTGTTTTTTTCATTTGAATATCTTGTTGTTTTAGCATCATTGTTCCTTCATGCATTTTCTGGTGTAAATACGTTATCGTTAGCAATCAGGTGTTAACAAAAATACCGAACACTTATGTAATTTAAAAAAAGGGAAGTCCATAAAATCTGACAAAATGAAACGTTAGACTTTATCAACCAAGGGAACGAACGGAAACCAACTCTCATATTCCTGACTTCCTGACAAGCAAAATGTTGGGATCCAAAACGTTCTCAATGATTACTAAATAAGTTCTCAATGATCAATATCCTCTTCTTTTATATGTATATTTTTGTTTAGAACAAAATCAATAGCATTTAAATTGATTCCGCTATTATAAATGAATGTGGCCAAATGTGCAGTCAGAAAAGACATGCGAAAGATTCCAAAAGGGATATTCCAACTCATTAGTTGAAAACAAACTGAAAATGCCATTTTTAAAAACAATCAAAAGACAAAAAACAGTATATAAAACACAATAAGGAAAACTAAGGACTAAGCATCACGAACCCAACCAAATTCCGGGGATGAACTCAGGTGCATAAACTGTTCAATACTTGATGATTCTCAGAGTACTTATTCCTTAACAGTTTTCTGATAAAAAAAAGTCACACACTGTAACTGAATGAGTGTTTCGTATGTTTTAATTTTTTTTTAAAAAGTGATCCAGTAATTAACATGACATAGATTGTCAGAGGCTTCTTTGCATGGGTAATAAATTGACAAAATAATAAAGCTAGAGTCTACCATAACTTCGATTTCTGCTGAATTGAGGAAAAAAATAGCCCTCTATACAAAAAACCCAAACTATCCTGATATATCTGTCTGAAGGACTTGCACCTGGTTTGAATATAATATTAAAACTAATTTTGATCAAAACAAATAAATATTAACACATACCTGACAATGTTTCTGTTTACGCTTTTAAACTATCTGCTATAACTTATATACAAATGAACAATTGCTACGGGTATTATTTACAAATTTCCAGAAACTTGCACGAATACTTTTACTTTCACTTGTCATTTTTAGGAATAGGGATATACATTATTATTTCTATTTTCGAAGGTTTGGATTGTTAAATGTTTTTTTTTCTTTTGATACTGTCTTTTATCAAATGCGATCAGCCGATTTCTTGGGTATTACAATATACGGTTTAAATATAGTTTATTTACTGATGATATAAAAAGAAATGATAAAACAAGGATTTAAATGAATGCCATATGTAGTGTGTAAAGACTATGCATGTCTCATGTCAAGAATTAATTATCGTACGCTCATATAGTATGGCCACTGACTCGATTATGCTACGGATAGACCGCCAGTCCCGAGAATAGACGTCGCCTTCTAGAGGCCATTTCTTCGATATTGACAGAATTAAAATTATATATTTGAATAATTTTAATGAAATATGTACAGGATGTACTTGTTCAAAAACGGATGTTGCAATTAAAAGATAGTTTCGTCTTAATTGCTTATTGCTCTGAAATGCTTTTCATTCTTTATTTAAAAAAGTTTTAATATAGAGCAAAGCAGATAAAATTATATTTTAAAAAGGCATTAAGTTTGTCAATACTGATAAGAGTTCATTAAACATATCCAAAGTTCAAAGTAATGATATAAGTAATGACTTGTATTCAAACATTGGTGGGAAACAGTGTGGCCTTTATGATAATATTTGAATGACACGTAACAAGGATGTAATTTATATAAAAATGCTAGTATCCCAGAATCAATTAACGGTTGCATCTTGAATAAAAAAAAAAAAAAAAAAAAGATGAAGACACCAATCGTTTAATAATAAAAAATACACTTCTTAGAAAATATGTAAAAAAAAAACCAAAAACCCACAATTAACTTGGTTTATACTGCGATAATTTTAATCCTGTTTGAATTAAACTGTTTTGGAAATCGATGGACTATCTAATTAGGAATAGGTAATTAAAGGTGTTGATTTCCGCAGAAGGTTTTGAAACATTTGTTAGTAGTTCCTTAAACGTTATTTTCTCTTAATTAGAAGTGGTGATTGCTATAGTCATTTTGACCACCCATAACTAAGACAATATATTTAAATTATTTGACAAGGAAAACATGAAATACGTACTAAGATTTCTTAGATATTTTGGTAAAACATAATACAAAGTCTTATTGTTTTCAATTGATTGAAATGTAGTTTGTAGTACAAATGTATTTGTAAAATCTGATATTTTTCTATTTCGAAAACCAGAAAGTGAAAAATACTACTGCAATGGAGGTTAAATATACACCAGCAACATATCGTCTCTCGCTATTTAAAGCAAACAAGTCTCATGATTTTATGAAAACTATACAATTTTATATTTTAGTTCGCTTAAAGGTCGTAAGGATAACTGCATGTTTGTAACTATTTGCGAATTTGTTTTTCAAGAATTAAAGAAATGATAAATAATCTAATTAACACTATACGATTTGGTATAAGGTGTGCAATAATATACAACTGAAATGGTAATTACTGACATTCTAAATAACTGTATATCGACATATAGAAGGGCATATATAAAGTACGATATAGTTTCGTGTTAAGAAATTAGTTAATAAATATAACGTGTAAACTGGCAGAGCGATCGAATAAATAGTTGAAATTTAGAAATTTGCTGATAATCTACAAATTATAAAAAAAACAGCATATAAGGAGCCGCAGATAACAAAACACACATACATGCATGACTTATAAATCAAACATATAACTTCTGAAGAGTTGTATATATCTACGGTAACTAAGTCTCAAGGTTGTCTTAAAACAGTTGACTTGTTACATTCTTCAAAAATTCTCAAAATTGGTAAGAACTAAACTTGATTTTCTATATTTCTAAAATCCCACTGCCTTATTGATTTCATCCCTGGTTGGTTCAAACGAAAGACTTTAAAATTGGTTTTTGCTGCCTGGCAAATAAGAGTATGAGCAATCTGTAGTCGAATTCGAACCAGAAGACAGACAAAAACGGGTACATGACTTGCTTCGAGCTGTAATTTTTTGAGCTAGCGAATTAAAATCCGACTCCTCGTCTTGTACAAAGCACAATATCATCAGCATCACTTATAATACATTAAAATGTTATTGTCATAAATATGCATGTAGCATTTACCGCTGTTTGTTATGCGTTTTCTCCTCGACAGCATTTATTTACGAATCGGCAATAAAGTTTATCGACAAATTGTAGGTATTGCTATGGACACTAATTGTGCCCCTTTAATAGCAGACGTGTTCCTGTTCTGTTATGAATCACAGTTTATGGCAAAACTCAGTAAAGACCCGTCTATATTCGATTTCATTGATAAATTCAACAACACTTACCGTTTTCTTGATGATATTGTTTCGTTAGGTAATCATGAATTCCCTAAATATAATACCAAAATTTACCCATAGGAACTTACTATAAATAAATCAAGAAATTAACAGCAATAACAGTCCATTTCTAATTTAGATATTTCAGTTTTACACGAGAAACTCTTCACAAAATTTTCGACAAAAGGGACGATTTTTCTCTTCCTTTTGTTAATTTTCCTTTTTCGGACGTTGATGTTCCTTTGGCACCGTCTTACAACACGTTCGCTATGCCCGTATATGAAGTGACGTTTTTGACTTCACTGAGCGTAATTTATGTATTACTGATAAAATATTAATTCAAGGATTTTGTTACCGCAAATTACTTAAAACCTTTACTATATTCTTCCATATATAGAAAGATTTGGTTTGCAAGTTTGGCTGTACCTGTAGAAAACTTATTTCAAACGGAATAGCACATCCTAACTTTTACGAGAATGTTGTTAACCGAGCACGGCAATTTAGATACGATCCGGGTAAACTTAACAATCGTTTAAATAACTTATTCTAAAAGATAACCAATTCAGCACTGTAATTAGATCTTTGAATATTGTTTTTATTGGTATGAATATTTTGTTATCAGTAAATTAAAACCATAATAAAAACTATTTTTCTACACATATGCACATTCACGCTACTACAATCTGTCGATACCTATATATTGGCATTGCTCGGACTGTTAATGACGTCTTTACACTAAATCCATTGGACTCTGCATGTGTACTGATTGATATTTTAGTCTTTAGATTTGATTCATATATGTTTCATTTCGGGGCCTTTTATAGCCAACTATACACGGTATGGGTTTTTCTCAGTGTTGAAGGCCATACGGTTGCCTATAATTACTTACATCTTTATTTGAACTTTGTTGGATAGTTGTCGCATTGGCAATCATACCACATCTCTTTATTTTTATATTAGTCAATCAATCAAATCCAGAATGCCAAAATGTTGCGGCCATCTTATATACCAGACCTATTCGGAGAACAACCTTAGGTTCTCCCATACCTTTAAAAAATGTTTTAGAAGAAATGGTGAAACTGTTAACAGAATATAATGTTTTATGACCCATGATTGATGTTTGAAAGCAATTCTTCAAAAGTCCCTCTAAGGGTGTTGAGAGTAATGACATATCATGCAATCACAAACTTGTACTTAACAAATCTGTTAAAACAAATAAATTTCTCAACTGCTATATTTCGGGAGTGGGCATGTATTTCTGTTATTCCTAAGCTTACCACTTACAAAAATCTAACAATGAACAATATGGTCACTTCACATTTAGTGGAGCATGCCTAAAAAATAAGGCCTCACAATATCATTATTAAACATTTGAACAATGTAACACATTTAAAATCAATAATGCAAGTCTTTGGAGTATAACCTCATATTCTGATTAAAACTGAAATAAAGTTATGATTAAGCAACAGCAAACCAAATATTAATGGTATTGGGGAATAAAAAATATGGTTACTACAGCTCTACGGGACGTTAAGCAACCAACAACCAATCAATATAAATAAGTTGTGGTATGGGTGCCAATGAGACAACTATCCATCCAAGTCGCAATGTGTAAAAAGTAAACAACTATAGATCAAAGTACGGCCTTCAACGCGGAGCCTTGGCTCGCACCGAACAGCAAGCTATAAAGGGCCCCAAAATGACTAGCGTAAAACAATTCAAACAGGAAAACCAACGGTCTTATCTATATAAAAAACGAGAAACGAGAAACACTTATGAACCACAAAAACAACAGGCTCCTAACTTAGGACAGGTGCTATAAAAATGCAGGGGGTTTAAATACATATTTGAATTTTGGAAAAAAAGTTGGTTACTGGTGGAGAATTTTTTTTAATTGTATATTTTTTATTGTTTTTGATTGATTTATTCGCAAATTTAATAGACTTCGATACCTTGGTTTCGTGCATGACTTGTTTTTCCTTCTGGTGGCACTGTCTACTTATTTGTTGCAGATGAGACAAAACTCAAAGCTACTTATGTAACAGTAGACCATTTCTCAATGGTTTATCATAAATACTTTGTCCACAGATTTGTTTGGAAATCAATTAATTTTAAAGTCACTGGAGCACGACTGAAGAGATAGTGCCTAATATTTGTGATGTTGTTGTGATGCATGGTTTTCAAATGCAACTGTATATCAAATATCAATAGATATCATATTAAATTGGGCGTTCTAGAGTGGACTGTCCATAGCGACCAGGTGGAAATTACATAATCCACTTGAAATGTAATGTATGTATCATAAGTACTGCAAATTGAGTTTTTTAAGTCCTCAACATTTAGAAAATTGCGATGATATATGTATGTTAATAATAACTCGTATTTTATCTTTTTATCATTATTTGCATTCTGCATTAATGAAATCGCAGTTACTAAACTCGTATTTTGACAATTTTTTTTAAAAAACGCAAATAGAAATGCACGGAAAAATTTCTAAATTTGCGGTACTTCTCAAATACAAAAAAAAATAAAACTTTTATTTGAAATGCAGTATTTGTCGCATATGATTTAAAGCTTCTCCTAACCTGAAAAAGATAATAATATAGTTTATCATTTTATAGTTTATAGCCTAGCAGCAGCTAAAATCCGAGCTACAAATTGACAGTGAGTGTCAGTCGAGAACTAAACATATATAAAATTGATTCAATATACCCTTTGTGAACTTTCCATTTCTATGTAACAAAATTCCATAAAAACCCGCATGTGGAGTACATTTATCTCGCAGTGGACACGATATTCAAGGGCTTGTTTTACTATTGTGATTTCCAGATAGAGGGTTACTGCTTACAAGGAATCTATTGAACCAATTGGTCTCAATAGTAAAGCTTGTGTAAACTCTTCTTCGGTTATACGGACGTCATCATGATTTGGTAGACATGAACGGAATATCTCTGAATATATGTGATCCACAAATCTGTCTTTTTGTTCGTTTGTGACATCACCAAAAATCAATTATCATCAGATGTAATAAAAAACCCGGTCCACTATTGGAGCAGGAAACTGCAATAAACCCTTTCGGAGCACCATAATTCATTATGATTTTTATCTTGTATATTTTTTTCTTTACCATCTCTCTTCATCTTCGCTATGATATCCCTCTCTCTCAAAAAAAAATATACAATCTTCAAATTATAAAGGACATTTATTAACTCAACTAATGAACAAAACTCAGCCTCACGTAATCCAGAAAGACTTGCTTTTCATTCCACATTTTAAGATTCAAAATATAAAAAAAAACAATTTGAGCATGAGACAAATCTTTTATTTTGTGTGTAATGCAATGGGTACACTAGAAAGAATATAAAATGATGAAAATAAATGTTGAAAACTCTTGTTTCTTTTTTCTGATTATATATATACAAAAGACCATATTTGTAAAAAGTAACCTTGATGTAAGGTTGATATTGTTCAAAGGCTTACAAAGGACAGTGATTTTTCTAGGCTGATATAAATACTTACCACTATGTCGGATATATAATCCTGAAATAAATATCTTTCTGTGATAATCAAAACATGTAGTAGCTATGTGTATTCATGTCAGAACCTTTTCTTGATAATTTTTGACGATTTGAAAACAAGTTTGTGCAATACATGTTGTTTACTCGACAACTTTGACATTCTGTCAATAACATTCTGATCATATTTGTTACTAACTAAATTTTGGCCACATTTGTATGCTACTATTTGACCGATTGTATGCTTATATTTAACCAGTTTGTACGCTACTATCTGACTTTGTATGCTGGCATTTGATATAGGATTTGACCACGTTTTATATTATGCTTATATTTAACCAGTTTGTACGCTACTATCTGACCAATGTGTATGCTGGCATTTGATATAGGATTTGACCACATTTTATATTATGGTTTGACCACATTCTAATATAATGGTTTGTTTACATGTTTTTATTATGGTTTGATCATATTTTTATGTTATGGTTTGACCACAGTTTTAAAATTACAAAATTGAAAATAGAGTCTTGGTAACAGTTTGCTATATAATTGGTCAAATGTATGATGCAGTGTTAAAGATTTTATTGAGGGATAATGGACAACTGCTACCAACATTGTTTATAAGTACATATGAATATGCATTCAGAAATCTACAAATAATTATCCTTTTGAATATATTGTAGAACCTACTTTTATCAGATTTTATTTCAACGCCTATTTAAAACAATAAAACGATAAGGAGGTATAATCAACGTCAGTCAGAAAATTCTGATTTTTTTTCTGAATAAAAACAACTTCTATAGAAAAAATGTAAAACAGGAATGGTACAAGTTTTTTTTTGCACAATCAAGGATGATATCAGGATATTGAAGAAACACATTTTTAGTTACCTTATAAATTAGGGAAACAAGAGCAAAATGAATATGAAAATTATAAGAGCGCCAGTTTCATTGCCTAATAAACATGGGCTTTTGTAAAAAACTGATTCGTAAAATAATAAATTAATATCAACTTGAAAATAACATATTTACATTTCATACCCGCTTGAAATTGAAATACTCAAAACTTATGTAAAGGTAAGTTAAACAAATGTATACAAAACTTGTAAAAAATCAAGTAAAAATCAGGCTATCCTACCTGGAAGCCATCATAGGTATTAAAAGACTAGTTATGACATGAACACATCGGTGATGGCTTGTACCAGTTAACTTGGTGTGATAAGAAAACCATGATACTATCAGCATCATTTCCAAATTTCTCTACACACCCAGAATTAACTAATACAAGTTGTGAATAATATGGTTTCCCAATATTTCTTCACTATTTATCTGCCATTAATGTTTCTTTCGAATCTTTTAAATCAATGATATAAAATAGTTACAAAACATTTCAATACAATATGTACACTAAACGTTTTAAACATATGCATGTAAATTTACAGGAATGGTGATATTTATATTATTGCACTTACCGGTATAATTTTTCAATAATTATTCATAACCACAAAAAATATTATATAAATCAAACATTTCTAATACTGATAAAATCCATAAATGCATTTCCTTTAATTCTATAAAGATATTTGAAAAAAACCATATTCATATTATTGCAGAGTAAATTGTAAGTGGCACATATCACATGCTTACAACAGAGCTATCAAAAATTTGGGAGAACACTGTGTGAGCAAACAAAATCACATTCAATAATAAAGACCTAAGGTGAATAAAAAAGAGTCAAAATTACTTTATCTTTATTTAACTCATAACTCTAGTTGGAATATACCAATCAAGAATTAAAATCGAAGAGGATCACATGAACTCCACATTGTAGCGAAAAAAGATGCATTGATATGGTAAGTATCCCCTGACACGTGAATCCAGATTTGCTAATAATTTCAAGATTGAGGAAAAGGACATAATCAGTAAATTATCAGATGCACAACTTGGTGCCCAATACAATTAACCTTTGCAGACAAATGGGCAATCATATGAAATTATTTTATGCTAAGAATATATTATACAACAATATACAACATTATACTAGCAAATGATGTTTGGTATATTTCAATAAGACAGCAACCCACCTACTTGTTGTTACAAATTACAGGTAAGGTTCAAATAAGTTATGCAACAATACACTGGTGTCTTTTCAATATTACAATGGCTTTAAAAAGCTCTATTTTGAATAAACTGTAAAAATGTAGGCAAACAATAATATATTCAATTTTTGATATCATTACTTTTCTACATTTGAAAAGGTTACAAATACATGAAAATAGTATGAATACTATACTACAAATGGGATATTCAACTACATTGACTACCTAAGAAATTTTTGCATAGTCGGATAAATACTAAAAATTGATTGACTACTTATGAGAGTGAATAGCAAGTTTGTTAATACTGAGGTACTAAGTATTGCTAAAGACAATGCTGGACGACAACAACCTTGCTATTTCCTTATTAAACAGCCATTAAGTGGATTTTCATACAGCACAAGACAAACTTCAATGATATCTACACACACCACTTGGCAAAAATAAAATACTCACATATATGCATATGATGAATGAGAACACATTTTATTCCCATTGTGTTAATCGTAAATATTTCTGTTACTGTATTCAAAACCACACATCCTTTTCTGATATTTTCACGAATGTGAATGCTGGAAGCTAAAACTATACTACTGTACACCAAAATATACTTGGATGAGGAAGATGAGGACAGAACTTTACTTTAGGTCTATCAAATGTAATTTTTCATATAGTTTATTTTTCTTTCTTTTTTTTCATTTTTAAAACAGCCCCTGGTAAGTAATTTAGTTAATTTTAAAACAGACTTTGATTAAGAGTGCACACATCTTTTTAGCTTTAAAAAATTAATTGGAGAACAAAAAATGTGCATTTTTGAAAATGTGGATTCAGCAAGCCTAACTTTCTTTCTTGTTTTAATCATTTCTATAAATAACTGTCAAGTGTTCTAACAATTTATATGTTTTTATTAATAATTAAGGAAATGCAATAAATCAAAGGATTTAAAGATCAATTAATCACGGCAATATTTAGATTTGTACTAAATATTGAACAAACTTTTGAATAAAATTTGTTCAATTTAACAAATGTAGGCCTATCATAATAATAATGTTTTTTCCTGGTGTGTGGACTAGTCAAACTTTTAATTCTCATCAAACAATTTAAATGTATCTACTGCTTTTTAAGAAATTGTCATGACTATCTCAATAAGTTTTTTCTAGTATGCAGTGCTAAGAATATTCCCAGTCAAAAGGTAACAAATAATGCTGCATTGAATATCTGCCCCTTATAACATACCCGTATATAAAAATCAAGGGAAAATAATCAGTCTACACGACACTAAATCTTTCGAACAGTAAATTACAAGCTGAAAATGTTCTTCCATACATAGAAACTTTTGCTTTATGGCTATGTCCTCCAAATATTTTGCATCAATCTGGATTCTGGTCAAAATTATCAATACTACTAGTTGCATTACGATGATCACTTCAAAGATTCAACTCAATTTGTGAGGCAAATAAAACAGTAATATAATTATTATTATTGTTATTATCTATCACATCATTTGCTAAGCATTGCTGTAAGCAAATCAAAATTAAAACTTATTTTGGCACGGTGTACGATAATGTATAAATAAGAAGATGTGGTATGTGTGCTAATGAAAAAACTCTCCATCCAAGTCATAATGTATAAATTTAAAAATTATAGGTCAAAGTACGGCCTTCAACATGTGTTTGAATGATTCCATGAAGACCATGTCAATTCGACACTAAAACTATTGTTGTCATTCAACAATTTGCCCTGAGCTGTCAAGACATTTTTTTTGAAACATCAAAACTATAGGAACATTTGAAATAACCAGTAAAGGCTAAACAATATCAGTAATAATGAATGATAAACATATATAGCTGCAAAATATATAACAACATCAGTTATTCACAGTAAATAAACAAACAAACAATCCAATATTAAATAATGCCATGTTATAAAGAACATTACAAATTATTTCTTTAATCATACACATTGTTATTGCTTATATTTGACATTTTTTTAAAACAAGTAAATACACAGTAATGGTTTATAAGTATTTTACCAAGATTCTAAAAACATTAATGGCAGATAAGCTACTACATGACTTGGTTATTTGAACTGGACTTTGACAGAACCTTTGATTTCCGACCTACATACAGGACAAGATTTCAAGGCTTGGGCACATTGGGAACAGGATGATAAATGACCACAGGGTAAAAACACAATAGATACAGGCATTTCACAACAAATTTTGCACTGTGTCTGTTCTTTCATTTCTTTGTTTTCCTCAGCTATTTTCTTTACATTATCTGTTGAGAAAAAAAAACAATAAACCATTTAACTTGAAGATAGGTCTATTTTTGACTCGTTAGTAGCCAATGAAAATATTGTAATTTTGAACCACATTGCAGGATATGCTAACCAAATTAACAAATTTTCTTGTTCAGAGTGATCAAAGAAATATCTCTTCACACAGGAAACAGATAACAGATAATAATCATAAGAGAAAAAAAATTACAAGATATTCTGTACGCTGTCTATTGTTTTGTGTTTGCTTTTAAATGGTTCGTCATTCTAGTTTTAAGAAAATGGATACACTGTTGCTATATTTTTTCTACTCAGACCACAATCCTTGAAAATTACTCCAATTGAACCTGAAAATCTTGCACTTAGTTCTATTAAATCAATAAATGATGGAAGTGACAAAATTTTACATTTTTTTTATAAATTTTTCAAAACATTTTAATGAAAAAAGATAGCTGTTAAAAATGATATAAGATGGTGAAATTTCACTATCACCAGTAATCTGATTCACAATGAGTGATTTTGACTGATTCATATTTCCAGTACTGTATAATAATATTTTTATTTTCTCGTGATATCATAAATGTAAAAAAAAGTGTTATTCTAAAGCCTATTTAAAAAGTCACCAACCTTTCGAAAGAACTTTTCTACTCTTCATGCTAACTACAGAATGTTTAAGTTTAGAACTTATCGGTACAGTTAATTCTGATTTTGCTCTTTCACCACTCTCCTCTATTTTGTTAATCTCTTCCATTAAATTCCTTGCTGACATTCCATTCCAGCCTAAATACAAAATATGAATAGCATATGAATAAAGGAAATTCCCAACCGTCTCCTATGTACCAGTGTAAAATTTATAAAAACTGAGAATTAACGCACTGGATGTTATCGCCATTGTTAAAATGCTAGGAGTAAAAAATAACTTTAATTCAGTTGCATGTTTATAATGAAAATTAAACCCTCTTTCACTCTCTATTCAAATTGTATATTACCATCATATATCCAGAAATTCAGCCTTCGTATGTTTTCCATAGTTTACAGTTACAATGTATACAGTTTTCATGCTTTTGTTCAATTTTCTTTAAAATATTAGGATTTACCATTTAAATTAAGCATATGCTTGGTAAATTTTCTGAATATTTAAACAACAACATTCACTTGTATAGTGAGCGTGGTGTCATCTGCATTTCTGTTCCTACATACTCTGCTTAAATATCCGGCTTTGAGCATTCCTGATGAAGGTAAATCCAGAAAATTGTTTCGAACCCATGAAATTTTTTGAAATGACCATGAAATTTTAAAATGCTTCCAAAAAGGTTTGTGCAATCAAATAATACTGATGAATTAGGTCCTCTTGCGCTTAAAATCTCCCATGGAAATTTTGAAAAGTTGGCAGGTATGCTTGAAGACGATCAGTGTTTGCTAAAAAATTATGCTGAGAAATATCAAATAACTATTTTCAAGTCTTTATTTTGACCCAGCTGAAGATTGATCTTACAATCTCCTGCACTCCCAAAGAGCATCCTACCTGAAGAGGACAGAGGCAGTTAGTCCTATAAAATATTATCAAGATATATGACTTGATCACTATTAAAGGTTTGCTTACAAGAAGGCTTCCTAAAAAACGTATGGTTGGCAGTAAAATAACACTATCAGATAATATGTCTTATAATTTGTCGAGGTCAACAAATAGGACAATTGGCCTATTTATAATAAATAAACAGAAAGCGAAGCTTAACATGCCTTTATCTGTACATAAAAACAAAAAGCAATTTTTATAAAGTTGCTGCAATTTTTTTTTTTCTAAATCTACTTCAATTCTTGATTATACAACATGCATTAAGATTACATAAATAAATACTACAACTATATAATTCTGAAAAAAACTGAGAGAGGGTTGAAAATCTTCTTTCAACATGGGGTTTCTCCTTGCTATGTGAACACTTTTGTAAAAGCTATAAGTTGGTATCGGGTCCGTTTGCTCCTAGAACACGTTCGCACCCTATACATTTACACCCCACATGTTTGCCCCCTTGGTTCATTCGCACCCTATTTTTATTCAAATACAGGATGTATATATCCAACAATTTATATTTTCATGAATAAATATCCTTAATTTTCTAAATGAAAATTGTTTTTTTGTGATTAGATGATTAATTCTTACATGTTAATTATTTATGATTACTGTTAATTGGTATTTGCATTACAGCAAAGCTAATTTGGTATTATTGCCGTTTGATATCTTTTGTCTTTCTTTCACAAATATTAGATGAGTGAACTTGGCCTTTGATCATCATGACAATATCTATCATTCATTTTTTTCAAAATAATTCACAAAACACTAAAGGAAACAGTGCTAACGTTTTTAGAATGTCACTTTATTTTAAAACAATAATAAATAAAAACTTATTATCTTTATTTTATAGCAATATCCGGGTCTCATTTCACAAAAAATCAAAACGAGAAAAATTCATGAACAGTTCTGTTCAACTTACGATCAATTTTAGTTATAAGATTTTTATGTGAAAAGAGCCCAGAGCTCTTTCTGTTTTTGGGGCATATACAATTCATTTGAAATTTAACGTTGAAAAAACCTTTGAACTCCTCTTTTGGTTGTAGTCTTAGTGGCAAAACCCCATTATGCATTAATGACAATTTCGTATCTTTTAATGGTCTCTCTAATGTTTTGTCCGTTTTTGTTACATTTGTCATTCTATTTTTTATTATAACTTATATATGTTAGATTTTAAAAAGTGCAAGAATGGACCCAGGGTGCGAACTTGTGGGTGGAAATGTGAATTGGAGTGAACATGACTTTGGGTGAACAGATCCTGGATTCCTATAAGTTGGTCAAAGTTATCTATGATATCATTATTTGGATCACCTTTTTAACATAGATTAAAACTTCTGGCTTCAAAAAAAAAAAGATATCTTCCTTTACATGCATTTTTTATCTTTGTTATAAAATCTGCTGCGCTATATTAAGAAAGACCAATTGTAGTATTCATCTATGACTCTTTTTCATGGGGTATCTTGATCTCCATCACCAAAAAGCTTATGAATACTTTACACAAAATCAATATTCTTGAGATGTTTGACTAACTATGAACATGTACAACTTTAACATTTACCGTACAATCAGCAAACATTCAGAAAGAAGGATAAGTAATTATTACTTTATTCTTACCTGATATGCTGACTGTCTGTCAATCTACCGCTCTAAGATAAAACATTTCAATGAGAAGCAATTTCATATAGTATAAACTACCATTTATTCATGAAGTATTAGCATAAAAACACATTTTTCTGCATGATAATAAAAATAGCAGTAATAAAAATTGCTTAGAAAAAAAGTGGATGCTCAAGTAAATCATATTGCCACTAAAATTGAAGCTTGGTTTCTGATCATTTGCAATGAAGGTAAAACTGGCAGCTAAAGAAAATTAAAGCTATGCCATATCCTTTACTGGATTAAAGCCTTGCCAGCATTACAAACTAGTAAACTGTAAGTTGATTGGATTAATATGATGCACAGGTCATAACTAGCCAAAGAGAAAATTTAATTATGGACCAGCTACCTACTTTTCAACTAGTTTAAATGTTCACTACTTCTTATATATTTCCTTAACTTTAAAAATAAGTTTTGAACTGCTTTGATTCTTTTCTTGTATAGTTTTTCTTAGATTGAAATTGCATTGAAAATTGTAAAAATAATTCCTTTTAACTTCAAAAAGCTTTAAAACCTTAGCATGCATGAAGAAATTTAGTTCTCTTCAGTCTAGATTTGATTCCCTCTAACCGACTTTGGCTTTTACCTTTCTCTTTCAAAACTCTATCAACAACTATTCTAATAACTTTAGGTAAATATCCCATTGTTAGTATACTCTGTGCTGCATCTGTCAGCAGTGGGTTTTTCTTCTCTGCTTTTGTTGGAGGTTTCCCACTTGGTAAGAAATCTAAAAGTGAATAATTCAACATTGTTATTAAGAATTATCAAACTCCTTAATTGTCTTCTGATCATTTAATTAGGAAGACAAATGAATAGCTGAAATATTAAAGCATTGGCAACACCAAGTACTTTCTTGTACTTCAGAGACCTACTGTCAAAAAAGGATTGAGAAAGGGAAAATTTTAAATTAATTCTTTTTCCAAAATTGTTTTTTTCAGAGGCAAAATAATTTTTTTCAAGCCAGCAAAGATGTTTTTTAAATAATTTTATTTGAATTATTATTTAGACAGCGGCATTATTTCAAATATAAAACACAATAATGGAAATATTTTTATTCAAGCGATCAAAATTTTTTTACAACACAATGACACTGATACTAAGGAGATATATCTATTTGGCATTGCCTTAATAAAATTTATTGATATCTTCTCAAATTTGCAATTTTGTAAATAAATAAGTGGGTAATATATATAAACCTTTGCCTTTGTCCTCTGATCTAGCATTTCCATCTTCTTCACAGTCACTATTGTGACTATCAAAAGTTTGTGCTATGCCATCAGTACTTAAGGCCTCCTCCTGATATATAAAACAATAACATTGAATAATTTCACTAAATAATTGACAGATATGTTATAATCTGGGAACTTTGGTATATTTTTAGAATGTAATGGTACTAAGTAAGATATATAACTTTTTCACTGAACATTTCACATTTTTTGATTGCTGATTTTCAAAATGCTTTTGATTGCAAATTTCGTTTTGTTGGATGAGCATTTACCATAAGGCCCTGAACTCACTTCCCGTTGAATGGCATTAGTGTTCCTCCAGCTTCAGTTTTCAGTGTACCCCGGTTGTTTTTTACCACTGTTGTTTGTGTGTTAATTTGTATATTCATCTTTCTTGAGTGTTGCTTAGGGCGTTGTCCATCTTTATTTATCTTGTTGCTTAGGGCGTTGTCCATCTTTATTTACCTTGTTGCTTAGGGCGTTGTCCATCTTTATTTATTTTGTTGCTTAGGGCGTTGTCCAACTTTATTTATCTTGTTGCCTAGGGCGTTGTCCATCTTTATTTATCTCATTGCTTAGGGCGTTGTCCATCTTTTATCTTGTTGCTTAGGGCGTTGTCTATCTTTATTTACCTTTTTGCTTAGGGCGTTGTCCATCTTTATTTATTTTGTTGCTTAGGGTGTTGTCCACCTTTATTTATCTTGTTGCTTAGGGCGTTGTCCATCTTTATTTATCTTGTTGCTTAGGGCGTTGTCCATCTTTATTCTACTTATAGTTTTTAATTGTGACCTTGACATCTTTTTTTATGAAAGCACAAAATCAAATTGCTGTGAGTATACCATGGGGAATGTTTTTCTGATTGAAGGCATTTATTTGTTTGAATATAGTTTGCAGATGTCCCAGTATTGTTGTTGGCTTGTTGTCTCATTGGTATATATCACTCATCCCTTTTGATTCGTATTCACTTATCTGCATAACAAACTTAACAATAAATGTGAATAGTGTCCACATGTGGACACAGATGATGCCCCCGCTTGCATATCATATAGTTATAAAGGGACATAACTGAAGAACGGTAAAAGTGATGCTACCCAAATTTGAACTTGATCTGAGTTTTGTAGTAATAAGCATTACATTTGGTTGAGGCTAACTTGAGTAGAGAACAGAAACTAAAAATTCATCAATTTTTCTATTTGTAAACACGCATAACTCTAGAACGGTTGTGTATACGTTTTATAACATTTGGTTAGAGAACGGAAACGAAAAATTCAGCAATTTCTATGTTTATAAAGGGACATAACACAAGAATGGTATAAGTGTTGCCACCAAATTTCGTACTTAATCTGTATTATGTAGTGATAAGCATTGTGTATAAGTTTCATAACATTTGGTTGAGGCAAACTAAAGTTAGAAAACGGAAACAAAAAATTTGTACTTGATCTTAGTTTTGTGGTAATGAAAATTGTGTATAGGTTTCATAATGTTTGGTTGGGGCAAACTTAAGTTACAGAATGGAAACTAAAATTTTGCAATCTTTCCATTTATAAAGGGGCATAACTCAATAATGGTTAAAGTGACACTACCCAAATTCAACTTGATCTGTGTTTTATCAGTGGAAGTGAAAATTAAACATTGCATTGTATAAAGCATTGATTGAAGTTGATTCAACTATAATCATGGACAAAGGAATTTAACTCCAATTTAAAAAAAAACTTGATATTTAGATGAAAATAAAAATTTTGCAATTTTTCCATTTATAAAGGGGCATAACTCTAGAACGGTTAAAGTGACGCCACCAAAATTCAAACTTGATCTGTGTTTTGTGGTAATAAGCATTGTGTGTAAGTTTCATAACATTTGGTTGAGGCAAACTTAAGTTAAGAGAACGGAAACTAAAAATTTTGCAATTTTTCCATTTATAAAGGGGCATAACTCTAGAACAGTTAAAGTGATGCCACCAAAATTCACACTTGATCTGTGTTTTGTTGTAATAAGCATTGTGTATAAGTTTCATAACATTTGGTTGAGGCAAACTTAAGTCAGAGAACGGAAACTAAAAATTTTGCAATTCTTCCATTTATAAAGGAACATAACTCTAGAACAGTTAAAGTGACGCCACCAAAATTCAAACTTGATCTGTGTTTTGTTGTAATAAGCATTGTGTATAAGTTTCATAACATTTGGTAACTCAAACTCAAGTTAGAGAACGGAAACCAATTTTGGGACGTACGTACGAATGTACAGACGGACAAGGGTAAAGCTTAATGCCCCCACCACTACGGCGGGGGAATAAAAAGATAAAAGCACACATAAAAATTCATATATTCCTGTTCTTAATCGATAACTCGAGCTCTTTATATGTGTAAACATAGGAAAATATTATTAGCTAACATGCAGGAAAGGAAATAAAAGGAAATAAAAGGAAAAACAAAGATGGCTTAGATGACAATATTTAAAGCTAATCACCAGTTGTACTCTCCTGACGGCATCTTGTACTGTAGCAATGAAATCCAAACCTTTCTTGTCCTTGAGAAATTGGCATTCTTGGGACCATCTTGCATGCTCTACAAAAGGATTATCTTCTGAGTCCCAGTTCTGTAGTCCTATACCACAGTGAAAACATCGTACATGGTCATTGTTGCCTGAAATCAGTACTCCATTTTTTATTTTTATTTCTATTATGACAAGTAACGACTCAGTCAACCCATTTTTCTTAGTAAATATTCAAACTCCTGCTAAAAATTTACAAATCTGAAGGTGCACATTAGAAGTTATGTCACTGTGACCTGTAAGCCACATGCTAGAGTGAAACAATTTTTATACACATTAAAACAAGAGTGCACACGCTGAAATGTCTCGCCTTCTTTACTAACCATTGATTTTATGTTGATAGTCCTAAATATGAAGCTTTACCACAAGTAACACATAAACTTAACATGATCCAAGAAAATGAGGTCAAGGTCAGATAAACCAAACGAGAAATACATGTACACCTTACAATCATTCAATAAACCAAACATAGTTGACCTATTACTTATAGTTTCTAAGAAACAGTCTTAACCAAGAAAACTAAACATTGACCAATGAACCATGAAAATGAGGTCAAGGTCAGATGAACCATGCCAGACAGACATGTACCCCTTACAATCAATTTATGCATTAAATGTAGTTGACCTATTGCTTATAGTATCTAAGAAACAAAATTAACTTAATCACGAAAACTTAACATTGACCAATGAACCATGAAAATGGGTTCAAGGTCAGATGATACTTGCCAGACAGACATATACACCTTACAATCCTTCCATACAACAAATAGAGTTGATCTATTGCTTATAGTTTAAGAAAAACAGACCAAAACACAAAAACTTAACACTGAGAAATGAACCGTGAAAATTAGGTCAAGGTCAAATAAATCCTCTGAGACTGACATGTTCATCATAAAATATTTCCATGCACCAAATATAGTTGACCTATTGCATATAGTAATAGAAAAAAAGACCAAAACTCAAAAACTTAACTTTGACCACTGAACCATGAAAATGAGGTCAAGGTCAGATGACACCTACCAGTTGGACATGTACACCTTACAATCATTCCATATACCAAATATAGTAGACCTACTGCTTATAGTATCTGATATATGGACTTGACCATGAAAACTTAACCTTGTTCACTGATCCATGAAATGAGGTCGAGGTCAAATGAAAATTGTCTGACGGGCATGAAGACCTTGCAAGGTACGCACATACTAAATATAGTTATCCTATTACTCATAATAAGAAAGAAATTAACATTACAAAAAATGTTGACTTTTTTTTCAAGTAGTCACTGAACCATGAAAATGAGGTCAAGGACAATGGACATATGACAGACGGAAACTTCGTAACATAGGGCATCTATATAGAGAGTATAAAGCATCCAGGTCTTCTAGCTTCTAAAGTATAAAGCTTTTAAGAAGTTAGCTAACGCTGCCGCCGCCGCCACCGGATCACTATCCCTATGTCAAGCTTTCTGCGACAAAAGTCTCAGGCTCGACAAAAATGATATATTCATATATTTATAGCAAAGTCTATTTATTTATTTATTTATACCTTTTTTATCTTATTTATACAGTTTTTATGATAATTGCCAGTACGCACAAATGGTTAAATGATGTGATGAAATAACTGATTTCCAAAAGTTCCCCGTAAAACAATGTGCGCGATATTTTTAACACATTTGAAATTTGTCGCATTATAAACATCCTAGAAATTGAGGAAGTGGGAATCAATTCTTCCTAATATATTAAGTGCTATTTTTAATCTAGTTTAGGAAATTACCAAATTTTAGAAGACAACACATTTAAATATCATATTTATCACGATTTCACAGCTCTAACAGGTAAGTCGACTATTTAATTCCGCATTTTTATCTATTTACAAAATGTATTTAAAGGTTTTCAATGTCATTTATATGCTTTCGTGATGAATCGAGTAATAAACATTATCTTTAAAGATCTAAAAATTTTCATTGTTGATGATGGTAGGAAATAGGATATCTAATTCCGCATTTTTATCTATTTGACAATGTATTTAAAGGTTTTCAATGTCTTTTATGCTTTTGTGGTGAATAGAGAAATAAATAAACAATAAACGTTATCATTATAAATTTAAAAATTTATGCAATTTTCATTGTTGATGATGGAAAATGAAATAGGAAGATTTTTTAGAAACATTTCTGATACATCACAATCCCATTGTAGCACATTGTATTCACATTTTTGCTTTATAAATTAATGTATTACAAAATGTAGATGTTATTAAAGACTTTCTATTTATTAGACCATTTTTTGTACCAATCTTAAAATGCATGGGCAACAATTGGGATTCATTTTTAGAGGTCGGCCAAAAAAAGATAAGTTTAGCTTACATTCATGTAATTTGGATTTGACATGTTTTAATTTGTGCGTGTTTTGGTTTGAAAAATAAACATGATAAATGAAATTAATAGTGAAAGTGCTTTAAAATTTAAAACAATTTTTTTCCCATACAGTAGAAACTTTTGAAGCCAAAGAAAATGTTCAATGATATTTAACAAGAATTATAAATATCAAGTGATTTAAACATGTTAAATGATCCTTATTTTTATATTTGTTACTGTTAAGGACCTAGCTCAGCCTTCAGTAAATCTAAAGTTTTGTATACCTGTATAGTAAAAACCAGCCTCTGCCATAGTTTCTGGGTGTTGTTGAATACTGGTTGGCCATGTTTGAAACGTGGACAATCTGATACATGTTATGGAGTATTGTGGATATTTAGGTCCTCGTCTCGAGTTCTGAGAACTGTTCAATGTTGTAGTCCTACTATCTGTGTCACTTCGTGTATTTTGATTAAAAAAATCACCAGCGTTTCCAGTAAAACTCAGACTTCCATTCCTGTATGTGCCCGGCAGATCATTTCTATTGAACCATGCCTTTGCTATGTCATTCATTCTATATACAGGTATTCACATTCTGAAAAAAAATAAAGAGTTCAAATGTGATGGAGTAACTCAAGCCTGTGAGTAAGGTCACGTCTTTCTTTTAATATATTTCGATTACATAAAGCGAAATAGTTGACAGTCTTTTAAACAAAGTAAAAAGCTGCCATTTTTTATGAAAATTAATGACTTTTAAAAAAATTCTTCTTCTATTTAAATATAAGTAAAAGTATGATATGTTTTTGACTCAATGAGTATTTAATTGTTTTTGTGTTTAATTTGAGCAACATACATCCAACTTTTTAAAAATTTAACTGATGCAGTGTAATGTACATGATGTATATATTTTTAAAATTTTGAAATTAATACATGTACTTGTCGTTCAATATTTTATTTTTATACATGCATGAAACATATTTAGTAAAAAAGATAATACCTTTATTAGAATAAAACAAGATGTTTTATGTTTATCAAAATTCTGTGACACATTTAGTTCATATATATTGATAAATGAATGACCCCCTATCTTTGCATCCCTTACAACATTATATATATACATGATATTTATATAAATTTTAGAAATGTTAATATGTATATTTTTTAAAGCAATTATACATACATGTCATGTCAAACATTTGGATGTTTTTCTAAGATTAGTTATGTTTAATGCTGTGTTAATATTTTATTTTCTTATCAAGTAAACAAAATATATATAAAGATGATCGTAATTTAAATTGCGTTCTTCAACTTTCTGGTTCTATTTTTAAATGCATTCCCCTTTACTATATATAGATGATAATTTTCCTCAGACTAAATTTAGAACATACATTTGTACAAAGAGAAATTTACAGTAAGGGAGTTACCATTTGATTTTTATGGGGGGGCTAGGATGAAATTTGAAAAAAATAGGCAGGACAGGAGTTTTGAGTAAAAAAAAAGGCAGGATGAGATTATTTGCAAAAAAAAAAGGCAGGATGACAATTTATGTAAAAAAAAAAGTCAGGATAAACTAAAAAAAAAGGCGCAGGACCGAATAGATGGAAAAATAAAAAGGCAGGACCGAATAGAGGGGAAAAAAAAAGGCAGGACAAAATTTTTCATCCTAGCCCCCCCATAAAAATCAAATGGTAGCTTCCTAATTTAAATCTGTGTATTGCTTTTACATGTATTGATAAAACTCATAACTGAATTAGCATTTGAAGAAGTAACAATTGTAAATTATATCAAAGTGTTAATAAATTAAAAGAAGAATATTCAATGTATTGGAACTTAATTAAACTTCACTCAGGAGTAAGCTCTGAACCATAAATATTAGAATTACTGTGCCTTAAAAAATACAGAGATTCTCCTTTTTGTAGGTATGGTATACATAATAAGTTAATATTGAGTATGAAAAAATTGTGTCTGCATGATTTGTTTATGGATATATGCCAAATAAAAATGAATGTAAATCATAAACAACCAATTTGTTTGATATTCAATACTAATTCTATGCTATGTTAAATAGACTTGAGCCGTATATCAGAGTATCTGAGACACATGAATATTATAAAGTTAATTTATATCAGGAACATTGCCTTACAAAATTGGCAGCTGTTTGTGATCATTTTTTGCACTATTGCAATTCTCAGGGACATTTTAATGCTTAAAAATAAGAACTTAATATATTTAGCTTAATTTATTTAAACCACCTTATTCACGCCAAACATGCTACGACCTTTCTATAACTTTTGATTACAGGATGTCATGGTTAAATGATATGGAATTTAAGCCACCCAAAGAATAAGTTTTTAAGACTCTTTTCCAAAAAAACCTTTAATTTTCTACCATATTTCCATGCTCAGTGTATAATTATAAAAGTTATTTTCACAAAAAAAAAATATTCTAAAGCTAGCCCTTTTTTTGTTAATCAACTTTATTGAAATTGCTTCACTGACCTTTATTCATTGATGTTTATACATAATCCACACCACATCCATGTTAGTAAAGACTTCTTCATGAACGTTAATAGCAACTCACATGACTGAAGTATTTTTTTATGTGCATGAATGTGTTATTCAAATAGCTAAGTAACCTTTGAACCTCATATTATGTCACGACATGTAATGGTTAATGCATGTACATGACTTACCAGCTGCGATGATGCCAAAAATAAATTTGTGATTGTAATATTATATATAATATACAAGTATTTCTCATCCACAAGTCACTTCAATCTGCCAATTTTGTTCAAAAAAGACATTTATATCTCAAAATTATCTATATATGTACATGTTCCCGTTTGAATGGTTTTACACTAGTAATGTTTGGGGCCCTTTATAGCTTGCTGTTCGGTGTGAGCCAAGACTCCGTGTTGAAGACCGTACTTTGACCTATAATGGTTTACTTTTATAAATTTTGACTTGGATGGAGAGTTGTCTTATTGGCACTCATACCACATCTTCTTATATCTATGTAGGTGTAAAAATTTTCAGATAGATGGAAATAAAATTAGTCAATATAATATGGGTTTTCCAAAAAATTATAAATGAAACTTCTCAGAAATCTATTCAGATGGAAGGAAATGATTGCAATACATGCAATATATACAACTGAAATCAATACCTAAACAGATGCAATCCAGGTTTTGAAAAAGGGGGCCCTAAACTAGGCGATGTTAAGAGAAGGACAAGTAAAAAGTGTATGCATTAACCATATACATTTTGTTTGTAGGGACATAAAGGTGGGAGGAGGGGACCCACAGGCCCACATAAATCTGCCTATGCTAAATAGGCATGGTTAATATAATATCAGTTGAAATTTGGTTTTGAACTGTCAGTTACTCTTAGATTTGTACTTTGTGAGTTTCACCACTGTCCCAGAGCAGGTGTTTAGTGTTGTGAGAGCGCTCACATGCATGTTTAAATTGAAAGCAGACCAGCTGGGTATGAGACAGCAACCTAACAACACAAAAAATCAAAAGACATCTAGCGACCAACATATGGTCCTCAACAATCGACAATAGTCTATATTGTACAATATGGCAATGTCTTACTAAATTAGCCTGAACTTCACAAGTCTTCTGCATTCATTATAATTTAATAAAAAGCTCTTGTCTGATGTAGCCATTTTCTACTAATGTGATATTGTATCATCATCATGAAATCCTATATCTAATAATTATTACAAAAGAATACAACTTTAGGTAAACATGGTAAAACAGTGCTGTCATTTAATAAAATATTGTTTAATCTATTCACACAGAAGACTTTCAGAAAATGACACCTTTTCATTAAAGATGTTAAATAATTGATAAATTGAACATTTATTAATAACACGCATATAATACAGCTTATAAATTAAACTAAATTTCATAGGTGATGTTTTTTATTCTTCAATACATCTATTTAATATATGTATGTTTCTATGAATGTCTTAAATGCCACTCCTGTAACAATTTTATATCTTTTATATTTTAGTTAGACTAAGTTAGTCAAAAAATAGATTTTTGCAGTAAGTGAACTTCATGTCGCACAAAGTGTTGTCTCGATATGTATCCTGTCTATCCTATATGTTAAAGATAGGCAACAAATTTCCACTTTACTAAAATAACTAAACAATTGTGATGAAAACCAGCCAATTATGACAAAAATAAACTATACTATATAGTTTCGTATTATATATATATATGTCTACAAATTTATTTATAGTTTTATTATTTCTAAATATGATTAAAACAGTCATGATTAAGAGTAGTATTACCTTTTAAGGTAACAAATACAATGAACCTATACATATTGATTTTTAATTGGTTATTTAAATTTATACTGCATGTAATTCTCATTCACCAAATTCTTTACATCAATCAAAAGCACCTTAAAATCACTAGTCCAATCAAAAAGAAGCCAAGGATACCCACTTAAAATTCCTATTCATCAATATTGGAACAATTCCATTTTTTTTTACTGTCTGGATCATGAGTGTCTGCTGTTCATTTTTTTGTTACAGGTGAATTGTGCATTATTTTATTGACTTTTTTCTCCATCATTTGTCCATTCAAAGTGGTCTGCTTGGGTAGTGTCATATTTACATGATCTATGTTATGTCCCAGGTTATTCTGTAGTTTTAATTGAAGGAGAGTGTATAATCTTCATTTTGGGTATATACATATCACATGTATCAATATTGAACTGGAACACTTGGTGACAATGTAGCTAGAGAAGTGAGTCATATATGAAATTAAAAAATCAATAAAGTTAGTCCACTTACCAATACACTTCTCTTTCCTGTCACCAAGATTCTTGTTTATTCAATCAATTAATTAATAATAAACATTAAGTTTATTTGGTCATTATTCAATTGTGCATTGTAACCATTCAATCTAGGTCACAATAAGCTGTCCGTTTTCCGGCATGCACTTCAAATTGAAATCTGGAAATACTTAGTTAACAATTCTAGAATGTAGGGGAATTTCGTGTAGATTTCATGGCGAAAATAACCAATCATAATGTAGCCAAATGGCGTATTACTAATAGAGTAATCTATTTGTGGAAATTGGGGAAACCAACGTTCAAAAATAAATATGTCTTCATGGTTATGTGATAAAAATAAATTTAAGTACAAGACTGGGTTGAACTAGTATCCTCAACTATGACCTTTGAAAAAGCACAGAAGTTTTTCGTATCAAACAAGCCCTGTCTTTTTCAGGTAACATCTGGGTCGTGTTTTTTTGTTCTTCGGTAGTGAGCCAGAAGAGGTCCATTTCTGTTTTTTTGCATAGGGAAGATCTTCTGGCTCTCTTCCACCTCTTCTTTTTTGATAGGTAGTTTAGACGGCAGAGGCACATAACAAACATGGCGTCGTTTATTCTAAATGACATTGATAAATTTATGAATGCAGATATATTAGAATGTGAGCTGTGTTATAAACGTTTTTATGGTATGACAGTCTTAGTAGGACATCCCTGTAAGACGATAAGCTGGATAAATATCAGAACTACACGGACAATAACAGTTAAGGGACGACAATTTGATATTCTAGGGAAAGGATTTTGATTTATTGGTGTTTAACGCTACTTTCAACACTAAGTTGGGCTATTCCGTGGTGGTCAGTTTAAATTTATAGATGAAGGATGGGGAAGGGAAGAGGGCATTATTAACTTTTTTAATCTGTCGCTAATTATGCCTATTTTTCAGCTCTTACCAGGCAACCATATTCATATATGAAATCCTCCTGTCCCCCACCCCAATAAATGAATAAATATCAAATGGTTTTTCTTCTTATTTAACACAAGTTTAAATTGATTGATTGTTTGTTGCTAATTTTCAACGCCCAGTGACAAATATGTCATGCATGTTCAGGACTCGGTTCAGGAAAACACGAGTTTAAAAGTCAGGTATATAATATAAAAACGAAGAGATGTATGATTGCTAATAAGGCAACTATCCACCGGAGTTTAAATATGAAGTGGATGTAAGCAATTATAGGCAAAAGTAATTTAGGCCTTCAACAATAACAAAACTCGATACTGTATTAAAAGTCGTCAATAAAAGGCCCGACGTGAAAAGTGTGAGAATCAATTCAAACGAAAAAATTAACGGCCTAATTATACATAACAAAATAATTTACAAAATATCAAATATGAGTCGAGACATGAACCAACGACAACCACTAAACTACAGGCTCCTGACTTGGGACAGGCACACAAAGAATATGGCAGGGTTGATATAAAAACGAAGATTGTCAATGAGACAACCCTCCACAAGAGACCAAATGACACAGCAATTAACAGCTATAGGTCACCATACGGCCTTCAACAATAAGCAAAGCCCATACCGCATAGTCAGCTATAAAAGGCCCCGAAATCACAAATGTAAAACAATTCAAACGAGAAAACTAACGGTCTTATTAATGTACAAAAAATTGAACGAAAAACAAATATGTAACAAAGCAACAAACGGCAACCACTGAATTACAGGCTCCCGACTTGGGACAGGCACATACATACAGAATGTGGCGGGGTTAAACATGTTACCGCCCCCTAACCTGGGACAGTGGTGTAACAGTACAAGAACATGTTTGTGAGCGCTCAACCCTCCCCGAAGCTGGGACAGTGGTGTAATAGTACAATATAAGAACAACCTGCACAAATCAATTGCAATTAGATTAACTCAAAAAATCGGTACGAGACACACAAAAAAAAACTTACATTAAGACAATAGACACAAAGCACCGAAATAAGAGTATTTGTAATTACTGGAAAATTATTTAAAGCTAATTACAACTAGTACTGAAATAAATCTTGTTCTCCCAGACTGAAGTATCAATCAGTACACAACCAACGGATTTATTAAAAAAAAAAAGAAGAAAAAGAGTCTGAGAAATGTCTGGTATACATTGTATACTTGCATATGAAGATCCATATACAATGAATTTTTTTGAAAAGTGGTGGTCCGAAGGTTTTGACCATCGAAATTTTGCAATAGAAATAATAGTTAGGACCAGAAGATTTTCTTCAAGGACTACCAGAGAAAAATGATTTTGAGAACTTTCCGATATCTTTGCTTTATACAAAAATAATCCAGTTTGGTTACTTTAAAAAAAAATGGATAGACAAGATGTCCTTTTTGATCATATTCGAGACAAACATTGACGAATTTTTGTGCAGTTTAAGATTGTTCTTAAAAATCAAATAGTGATTTGTCTAGCAAAATTGAGTTAGAAGAAAGAACAAAGAAAAATGTCACGAACAGAGCACACTTTTACAGTCATGTCTACCGGACGTATCTTAATTTTCTATAAAATCATCGTAAACTACATTATGTCACCCAACATAACAAAAATCTGCTATATTCGACGGCAAATCGAATTTTTGTTTTTTTGATCTTCCGTAGAATATCTTCAGAAGAGGTCCTGATTCATTTTTTTGGACTCTTCACCAGAAGACATTCTGGAGATGTGCAGAAGAGACCAATAAAACACGCCCCTGTAATCGATGATCCAATATTGAAACCCTACGGTTATTACAAAAGGTTCTTCAGAATACCAAAATTTATGAGAGGACAGCAACGCACAACGGTAAGTCCTCGTGCTGCGTTAATGTAACCAGAGATATAACTTCACAGTACCCAAATTGCACCTATTCAGCAAAAATAGCGGCGGAAACAAGTTTTCTTTGAGACTAAACAATTTGTTTTTTGATAATTTGACATTATACACGTCTTTCAACATATATAAATATGTAAATATATTTAAATATACACAAAACGTTCACAGTATATATCAACAGATGAAGTATTCACTGGAAAAAAGTGAAATCTACGAAAACGTCGCCATGCGACGTCCACAAAAAGTCATCTTACAAGCATCCATTTCTTAAAAAAATGAATTCTTAGCATGGACTTATGTCAAATTTTTCTTAATATTTGAAGAAATAAAACAAAACATGTGTTATTCGATTTTTAAGGATGCGAATTTAAGCATGGATGCAATTTGGGTACTCCTCATTACAGAACCATTGATCGTTTGGAGGTCTGTTCAAACCCATTTTTCTATGATTCAATATGGATTCAAAATTAAATTGGTCAGTGGAACCATTTAGTAAATAATGATACATCTACAAAATAAACAGAATGGAAACTTTTGTCTAGATCATAAATAAACGTAGGTGAAAAAACTGCCAAAATAGGTGCAATTTGGGTACCGTCACGTTAATACAATCAGACGGTCTTATATGTCTCTGATGTAACTGATAAACTTCCTACGGACTTTTTTTATACTAAAACATAAGTGCATCTGATGTTCATTGGTTGTCGTTTGTTGATGTGGTTCATAAGTGTTTCTCGTTTCTCGTTTTTTATATAGATTAGACCGTTGGTTTTCCTGTTTGAATGGTTTTACACTAGTCATTTTGGGGCCCTTAATAGCTTGCTGTTTAGTGTCAGCCAAGGCTCCATGTTGAAGGCCGTACTTTGACCTATAATGGTTTACTTTTATAAATTGTGACTTGGATGGAGAGTTGTCTCATTGGCACTCATACCACATCTTCTTATATCTATTATACTTTTATTGCAAAAACATAAGTGAACATTACAGAGACTGTGATTATTTAATTCATATATACAGACTTTATTTTACATATTTTAATTTAGATTTATAAAGTTATTTTTTTATTATTCCAGGAACGTACTGGAATACAAACCTTCGAGACATTCACTTATTACGTAACGTCGCTACCGCGATACGAATTGTATATTTATTATTAAAATACCATCAGAATAATTAAGTCTTGCTCGGATCTTTCAGACTGATTATATGGTCCCAATTGGCAACGAATCTTTTCTCTTTTCTTTTGATTTTTTTGCCACGGTTCGCTTTCAATGATTACATCCCCCCAAAAATATGCCTAAAATATAAATATAAACCAAATCCTTGAATAAACTGATATATGATTTATCTTAATAATAATGAAGATAACTACTAAATTTTCATTCCACATTCTAATATGACGTTCTTCTTTTGCTTTGGAAACAAAGCCGTCTTCTTATTCGAATAAAACATGGGCAGCACGTGATTGACGTCACAATTGAAATTGCAATGTTAGTTGTATTTTAAACAACGCCGGCCTGAGATCCAAATGGACATTTGTGTTGGTGTTGCACGCTAGGAAATTAAATAAAATCATTCTAAATGTAAGTGTACATGTATCTTTTATTTTTTTATCGTGAAACGGTTAATTTTCTATATCGTTTTGGCTTCATCAAATTAAAATGGCTGCACTTCGAACGTGTATTATAGGTCCGCTTCAGAGGATAAAAGTTCAAAATTCTCTTATTAGAATCTAAATAATTCTATCATGCCATGCTCTATGCTCATTTTGACATTAGCAGGCATTATATTTGTCAGCATTTTACACCTCGCTAACGCTCGGTATAAAGATATTCATGTCAGAATATACTGATTAAACATAATATCTGGAGCATAATATAGACCCTTGTCGAATTCCAATAACTACTGACATTAAATTCAATAAGATTAAACTCATCCTACATAATACTGTACTTACAGTTTGAAATCAGACCGGAAAGGTTAGGGTACCCAAAATGTACCCATTTTGACCATTTGTTCACCTACATTTATTTAAAAAATAGACAAAAGTTTCAATTCTAAGTTAATCTTTTTTTAGATGTATCCTTATTTACTATAAAGTTCCACAACTTGATATTGAATCCATACTGAATCATAGAAACTGACCTCTATACGACACAAGATTCTGTAATGTTATATAAGGGTCATTGAAAAAAATATTAGTGAATATATAGATTCTACCACTGCATCGAGTGTGATACGATATTTATCCACTCGAGACAGTTAAATTTTCAAATTTAAAACGCGAGGCTCGCCGAGCGTTTTAAATATTTAAAATTTAACTGTCGAGAGTGGATAAATATCGTATTA